CAAAATATAGACAAACCCTAGGGAGAGTCTTGGGATGGGACATTCATCCCCTTCTCTGCCTGGACCCCCAAAGCAGCTGCACCCCCAGAGCCTTTCTGCACGGGGCAAACACTCCTCACAGCCCAGATGGGAGTCTGGGTCTCTGCTCCCCATTCCACACCACACTTTGTCCAACACGAGGCAGAGGGGAAAGTGACGTGGCACAGGGAGAGACTCGAATGTCTTGTTTATGGGAACAGAGATAATAAGGCATTTAGAAATAATAAGCTCCAATAAATCACAGTGCTGCCCTAAGGTACAGAAGATTGGGAAAGCGATAGACATGGAACCACTTTCTTTGCCTCCTGCCTGCCAAGCCCAGGACACGCACACAGATCTGTTTTCTGACTATTCTCCTCATTTCCAAGTCCAAACCCACAATTTGCGAAAGCTCCGAGACCTTGGGGAGCTCCAGAGTCCACCAAGGGGGTGAGAAAAGAGGAGGGAGGAGAGGAAAGATCTAAAGGAGCTGGAAGGTTTCGTTGCTGTAACTGAGTATCTTGTAATATTCCTGCAAAGTCCAATGTACAAACATCCCTCCGGGAGCTTCCTTCCCTGAGGGAAGGAAGCAATCCACATGGCCAATGCCTGCAGGAGCTTTGGGGCCACCCCCAGGGCTCTGCTCAGGGCAGAAAGTGCTTTGGGAGCACACAGAATTCCCCATGAGCTTGCAGGGCTGAGCTCACCATTCCCAGAGAGCAGGACGAACAAAAGGCAGCAGCAGTGTCAGCAGTGGTGGGAGCTGCGAGGGGCAGAGCTCCTCCAGCAGCACAAACCACAGCACAGGCAGCACAGCCCCAGCTGCCGAGGACCTGGGGGTTCCCTTCTCCCAGCTGCTTGTGGTGCCCAACCCCCAGCTGGGAAGGCTCAGAGGATGTGGGAAGACACAAAGCTTGAGCCATGGCTTTGGGTCAAACCCACCCAGGTTGTCCCACGGCTCCTGCTCAGCATTCCTGAGCTGTAGCTGATGATCTGTTTGGCTGTTGGGATCTTGTTTATCTGCCCCTCTTCCTCCCGAGTCCCTTCGGCTCAGAGGGAAGAAATCTGGTGGCAGGAGGTGTGTGGACACGTGCCCAGCATGGCACATCCCTGTCCCCACTGCCCCATGCCAGCGAGGGACAGCACAGGAAGGAAAATGCCTCCAACACACAGAGCTGAGGACAGGCTGGAGCTGGGAATCAAATCCCACCTCCTTGGCAGGCAGACGTTTGCATTAGGTGGTGTCAACCAAAAGAGAGGGAGAAGGGTCTCAGCACATCTGGATCCACATCTGAGCTCTTGGGGAGCATCCAAGTCTAACACTGTGGGATGTGACTCCTGCCAACGTGGAGATGCTCAGGAGAACCTCCATCCCCCTTCCCTCTGCCTTTAATCCCTCGGGAATGGCTGGACAGGGACCAGGTAACGCTGGACGGAGACAGCCTAGGGAGGAGTTTGCCATGAACAACACACTACCTCGCAGCAGGATTTGCTTTGGGAGCTTTCTAATCTTTTCTGTGCAGATAAAATGAGTGTGTAATCTCCCTTGGTTTTCCGTCCGTGCTGCCTGGCCCAATCAGGTGCCTGTCTGACCTATTCCAGGGATATTTTAGAGCCTGATTAAGTGGTTTCAAGTGCAGAAGAGACAGCACTGAAGCAAATCCTTCCAATCCCACGAGCCAGGTCGGAGGAGAGGAAAGCAAAATTCTGGTTTGAAAGTTTGCTCAACTGGGAAAAATCCAAATGGCTTATTTACATTCAGTCTGAAATTAATACACTGCAGCGTTTTCAGACCCGATGATGCTCAGGGAGAGGGAAAGGAGAGTGGGAGGGGAGGGAGGAGAGATGCTCAGAGCACTGGAGGGACAGACCCAGCACAGCTTTGCTTCCCTCCCAGGAAAGCTTTGCCCCAGTGTCTCTCTGCTCACCTGGGCAATGCTGTGGATAAACACTTCAGTTCTGGGACAATGCAGAATCTGGTCCAAAACCAATCGTGGTTTCTATGAAAAGTTACTTCCTAAGTGCAAAAAAGCAAAACAAAGCAAAAAAACCCACAAAACCCCAAATAGCTCAGCAGCCTGGGAGTTGTTGTTATTTGTTTTTTATAGCATTTGGGTGGGTAGGAGAGGAGGAATTTTGGGCCAGACAGGCCAGGACCAGTGTCCATCCAGTCCATCTGTGTTCAGAGTTTGACTCTGGAGACAAACTCCTCACTCCAGGTTTGGGGCACAGACCACATGGCAAGGTGTGCCTACAAATCCTGTCACCCAACAGATTGTTGAGCCAACAAACTGACCCTCATGGAAGAACTGCTCCAGCAAGGCCACCAGGGTGGTTGGGATGACCCTCAGGAAGGGATTCCAGGGAAGAGCAGAAATAAAACCACTGCAAGAAGCACCTCTGTCACTGCAACAGTGGGGAGGAACTATTCCTTAAGAGATTAATTAATAGATTTACCATACATTAAGGATGCATTTGGGACTGGAGCTGCAAAGGAAGAAGGAATCTCTAAGCCTAAACTGGAGACCAGGAGCAACACAACTTCCCAGGACACAAACCAGACCAGCAGGACCAGGTTTCTTTCTCCTCTT